TCAACACGCATGCTATAAACAGCTACAATCCTCTTAGGCTGCGGTCCAACTTGACGTACATCTGCAGCGACCTAATGAAATGTATTTTCGCCTTAATGCTCTCACTGTAAAGCTATAAGGAGGAATGAACATGCACAGCCATGTGAGTGATTACAAGATCACTTAATTTGGGCTAAAAAGGAAGGAAAGCTACTGTTCACAGAACAAAAGAGGTTAAAAATAGCTTTGAAGCTCAAATAATTCACCATAATGTAGCTGTGGGCTCTGCTTTCTTGGCTTTTAATCAGAGGTCAGACATCTGGCCTCGAGGCTTTGCATGCAATTGCTCCGCTTTTCTGAAATAGCATCAAATCTATCAATTCTGATCAAATCCTCAGTGATTAACTAAATGAGCTCTTTATGGAATAGGGATCCATTAGAGGAGATCGCTCGCCATCTTGATGGGTCACAAAGCCCCCGCCCCCACAAGCATGTTGTAAGCACATGGGAGGTCACTGACCCCTCTCTCATTTTCCACGCTTTCATTTTGATGACACGCCAGGTGGTTGCACCCATTGTTGAAGGCCACAGATGTCAGGAGATGATCACAACGATTGATGACGATATAATGGGATATCATTTCCCACAATCCCTTGTGACTCTATTGAGCACAAAAAGAGCTGTGCATCATTTTATGGTGGAAAAAAAGACATTGCATCACAATCAACTTCTGGATTGATGGATGAATATTGTCTTTACACCCCGTCTGGTGTCAAAAAAGTTGAAATTCTTTGGTTTTCTTCCATTTTTCCAAAAAGGTTCAGAGTTGTGTGCTCTAACAGGGTTGTTTTAACATGTTAGCAGCATGGCTCCACACCCAAATGACTCAACAACTATTAGAGTGATTGCCATGACATTTTCTGCAGACATTCCTGATGCTCGGAGGATAATTCCTACTGAATTTTCATTTTGTTACTTTATACTTTTACCCCACTACACTTTGCAAGCCAATACTGTACTTTTTATTAGACTATAAGATGTTATTTTGTAATCTTTTTATGACCCTTTAACATGAACTATTCCTACATACAATGATCGTCACCAAACAGATGCAGGCAGTAATAAACAGTAGTGGAAGAAGTACTCAAATCTTTTACAAAAGCAAAAATTGCAGAGCAAAAAAAATACTCTGCTACAAGTAAAAGTCCTTCATTCAAAGTCAAAGTAGAAGTACCACGTGTGAGTATGAAAAAAACCACAACCTAGATTTTAAAACAGTCAAAAAGATCATTTAAATTATTCATATTATGTCTGCAGGCTTGAATACAATATTAAAGTATATTTCTTTATACCAGAGTTATCTTCAATCTCAGCACACTGAGCATATGTGTGAGGGTGGAGTGGAAAACAGTGTGTGGAGTGCACTGACAAGGCCGTGAGCAGATGATTTAGATCCATGTTCACATAGTTCCAGGGACTCTGCACCTCAGGGCAGTGCCAATTCAAATATAGCACAAACTCTTGGGAAAAAGTTTCCTTGAAAAACATGATTAATGGCAGCCCAGCGTGTTTCTGCGAGGATGCATGGCGTGACTCATGCAAACAGGGATTTTCTTTTTCGGTAACAGACTAACCTTTGCTCCTATTTGACCTCTATGAATGTAGAGCGTTGCTTTCAGAACATATTTTACACCCACACCCACTTTTCTGGATGTTAAAAAACAGCAGCCAATCATACACGATTAATAAACATGATAAACTGTAATTTAACTGAATAGCAAGCAGACCGCGTGAAGTCAGACTGGTCGTTGCATTAGCAGGTTGCTGAGTTGGCTGTGTAAATTTGAGGCAGCTCTTTGTGCAAACAATGATATAACACTGTGCAAACAAGTTGTATCGCAATGTGTAGCAACACCGTGACAGTTCTGAGAACTGTTGGCTAATTATTTTGGTTCACATGTGTATTGAGGCAGATCCTTGTTGAACTGCAGCCGTACCTGGGAGGTATACATTACCCTATAGGACGCAGCTGCACAGCAGGTTTCTATACGTTAGTTATACTTTCTAGTGAAGATAAATGAAATGCCAACAAGACAAGTCTACAGCGATGCTAACTGTTAGCAGCTAACATTGAGGCTGTGTTGAGGCACCTTTAGGCTTTGAGGTAAATGCTAACACAAGCATGGACTTTATAAATAATCGTCTTTAAAAAAGATTTAAAATACTCATATCAAGCAGACATTGCACACACTGTACATTCCTTCTGTGTATACGTGTATAGGTATATCGTATATGTTGTTTTATTTTATACTTTTCCAATGGAAATATTTATAAATATCCTGTGTGTGTTGTGTGAAGAAGGGGCTGCAACTTGCATTTATTTGTGCAACCATGTGCTGTAAAATGAAAAATAAATTAATTGTGAATTTTGTGAATTTAGTACAAAACGGCCACTTAAAAAACTAGTTAGTGTTTTTCTAAGCATCTGCCAAATTGAGCTTGTGGGTGTCAAATCCTCATTTCACTTTTTTGATATAATTTATGTGTCAATGAATGTAGTCACGCTAGCAGCTAAATGCTAGCATCAGCATGCCAACATGCTGATATTTAGCACGCATAATGTCCATCCACTTAGATTAGCGTGTTAGCATGCTAACATTTGCAGGTATCTTGTCATAAACCAAATTACACAAAATAGTTTCCACCTGAACGCCAAAGGTGTTACAATTCACCATCTGGGGACCATGAATGTCGTACCAAATGTGACGAATGTGAGCGTCATGGTGGTGCTCGAGGAAAAAATCTAGAGGATCACCAACGTGATCAGGATTCATCGTCTGGGCACCGTGACAAAAAAAACGACCAATAGGCAGACATTGCCATCTCTAGAGCCACGCCACCAGAAAGGCTAAAAACAATAGCAATCTAAAATTTCCTTGTTTAGCTTTCTGGAAAATCTGCTTGATTTGGGGATATTTCACCAAGACAACCCATCAAAATACATATCGTCTCTGAACAGGGGCCGCTATCGGCTCTTATCTGTCGTCCTGGTGACAGGAAGTAATCGAGGGTCATGGGAAATATGGTGCTGCTGATTTTGACAAACACAAGTGCCAGACAATTGCATAATCTGATCTCCTCCTAAACATTGAGGGGTAAGATATTACAGATACTCTTCGAGCTTCATTACAAGGGTACTTGAGTCATGACCTCCGAGGCCTCATTTAAAAACATCTCGGGATGACATCTGAGCTCAGCGTTTTGCATTCGTAGAAATCCAGGTCAAGAGTTATTTCTAAATCCTGAACTTCATACGGAAAAGTCCCAGCTCCGTGCCAGCCGACATCTAGTATCTCCTCATTCCTCACAGTCATATTCTGACTACATGTTCCAACACACTAGACCCTCGACAGCTGAGAGTGTCGGGCTTCTCTCTGAACAGCACGAATATACTCAGAAACTTCCTGCTGTGATATGGACTCAACCAAACATTCAGTCCGGGTCCGATTGACCTCGAGGAAGATCGGATGCAGGGAAGATCGGACCAAATGTAGCCATTGAAGTGGGCTTCAAAACAAACATGCTGTACTAAAAAAAGAGAGGACACTGAGGTGGCTGCAGAGCAACACGAATGATCAATGAGGGAGGGTTGGTCGCCCGCAGGATGTTGAAAGACTGGAAAGAACCAGTACTGCCTGCAGCAGGAGAGAAGTAGAACATGCAGATCTTTCATATAAAATTCAATCATCTCTCTCTTAAAGCACTCGTGTTATTTCCAAGAAGTTGGGAAGTCTTCCGACACCAAAGTCTCCCCTAGTTACAGGTGAGGACTTCAGAATCTGGAAGCTAAACTATATGGATTTGAAGTGCAGAGCAAAGATATTGATTTTTTTTAAACCTTGTGCCGCTTGCACAAAAAGGCTCCAAAGGGCTCCAGTTGCAAAAAATAAATAAATAAATAAAGATAACACAGATTTTTGGACTTTGGAAACATGGAATAGATCCGATACATAAATACGAGGCTGCACTAAAGCCAGTCTGGCCGTCAGTGGCCGCCAGTGGCCGTCTAACAGGATTATCAAAGAACAAATTCAAACCAAGGCTTGGTTTCATGCATGTTCATAAAAGTCCCCAGACAGCAAAGTCAATATTAAGAGTTTTAAAGTTTCTTGTTTGAGAGTAACTCCCTACTCCTGCTATACAATTGATAAACTGAAATTTTATTTTTTAGAGGACTGAATGAAATTCTTTTCAAGCCTATAAATAATTCATATTTTTGAAAGCTCTGTAAAATATCATCCCAAGTAGCACAACAACCACATAAAAGTACATGTACATAGAAGTACATCTTACAGTTTTGCATGGAGAGTAAACACTGCCATCTAGTGGCACCGAAGAGGAAATCATATAAACTTGCCTTCTTTCGTTTTTAAAGAGTTCACACACACTTATCAAACCAATGTTTTTATTTGTATTGAAGGTTACAGAACATCTTTCCATCAAAATTTAAATATGAATTCAGTGGTATTAGTGGTCTCCAAATGGTCTCTTGGTTGTACAGTAAATACACGTCATTATATTCATTAAGATGTGTCATTTTCTTAATTTACCCTATAACTCATAATGAACATTGAATTAAATTTACGTTGTTTTAGAGGGTGTGACGCCTTCTGACTATGTGCCCTTGACATGTGACTGATTCATTTACACAATTTTACAATGAATTCCTCATACGATAACGGATGTTTGGTCCCAATAACACATGTACCGTATGTCCATTCATCAAACTCATCGCTGCTTTCAAATATACAATCATACATACGCAACAGTGCCAAATTTGGGAGAGCGACACAAAAAACGGTCCGACTCTGTGCCGTAAATGTCACCAGGTTCATTCCATAGTTTGAATTACATTCAGCATGATTGTCTTTTGTTTTGTGTGGACTTTACAGAATGATTTGATGATGAGGGAACACGGAAGTTCATGACTGCCATCGAGGCTTGAGAGTGTGTGTGTGTGTGGGGGGGCATAGACGATGACGGGAGTTCGCGAGTCTACGATCGCTTTTTTCTGCCCTCAAAATTTCTGAAGTTGGCCGGCCTAATCTTCATCTCTGCAAACTCAATTGAGTGTTCATGGCCCTTCCAGTGGAACCAGTTGATCCCCTGCAAAAAATACACAATGCAAATCGTGAGACATCTAACGCGTCAAGAATCGTCTTTCCTTAAACGGGACGTCCAACAAATCACAAACGTTTCTTTTTAACACCAAAAAAAGATGAGGCGTAAACATTTAAAAGGACGTCAGAAATGTTGGAATAAAATATCATCCCTATGCTGAGCGATAAAAGGAATATCTAAGGCCTCATGACATCAAATGTACGTACCTTACTGTGACTGCTGTCACCGTATTTTCCCATGAGGTTGACACGATGACAGTTTTTGTACCAGAAGGCACCTTTGTACGACAAGGCGCAGTTGGTGACGGCAATGTCGTTGTCGTTGTCGAAGGTGGAGAAGGGTCGACCCTGGTGGTACGTCATCGAGTCGCCTGGTGGAAATGTTTAAGAGCAAAGCTCAGAAAACACAGCTCATTATTCAATTAAAGACTAATAAGTAGTGTCATGGCGGCGTTTCTTTAAGTGCGTTTAGTATAAAGCTTAAGCCAGGAGACAATTAGCTTAGCTTAGCATAAACAGCTATCCTGTCTCCATCTAAAAGGAACAAAATCTCCCGACTGAAGATCAATAACTACACATATCACCTGGCACTATCGCCCAGAAAACGTGCCTAAATTTATATCCCCAAAATCAATCAGGAATAGCTTCTCAACCACAAGACTTTTATGCCTATTCATGGTCTCCTTTGAAAGTTAGGAAGCTAAGGAATATGAATCCATTGTAAGTAAACTTATTTCTACCAACATTTCAGAGTAAATAAAGATGCAACAAAAGAACTCGCCGAGTAAATTGGGTTTCGTCAAATCAACCAAGACTAAAATGTTGAGGATTGTCACTTTAAAGCCTTAATCATTGAGCTTTAGAGGTGCTTTAAAGTAACACCTACCTGCTGTTCCACTGTACGCCCCTATGTAGACTTTATAGCGTGTTTTTGGCTCTGCAATCGTGAGCTTGTCGTACTGAGCGTAGGCCGATTCCCCTTTGTCCCTCATGTCCACTCGCAGCTCATAATGGCCAGAATTCGTGATTTTATGGAGGTTGGAGAGACCTGTAATAATTGGATATGTGTCAGTTGGATAGAGGGGCTGACGTAAGAAAGAGAAAGAGAGGCGAAGGTGAATAATAAGAGCTCTTACCCAGCCAGAACTCATCGTTCATGTTACCGAAGCCAGCGGTGTAGTTCTTCCAATTCCTGAAGAATTCCAACTTTCCATTCTGGCGTCTGAGGAAAACCTGAAGAGCACAGAGCGTCAACGACAGCTTCGCAATAATTATAACAGGTTTCCGGATTCCAGAAGGTTGATTCACTCACCATCCATCCTCCGCCATCAGTGGTCATGTCACAGTAAACCTGGATGGGCTGGCTCTCCTCTCCTCTCACGTAGACGGTGTACAGACCAGAAGTCGTCTCTCCGTTCAGTAAGATCTGAGCACAGTCCTTAGGGCGTCTGTACAGCTGTCCAACTAGAAGCACATATTAAAAAGACATCAGCTGCTTTATCTTCGAGACAGCACACAGTATCGTGTGAGAGTGGAAAGAAAAGCAAAGAAAGGAAAAACAAAAAGGCTTTTCCATCGCTAGCAGCTCAGACAGAATGAAAAGTAAGCACAGGTGCAGTATCACATTAAAGGAAAGGAATTTACGTTGGAAGAAGTCAAATATTTCTATCGAGCATCTGGACAAATCACCAGCTTTCACTGCTACAAAAAAAAAAAAAAAAGTACCGGCAAGTTAACACTGCTTTTCTAGGTGCATACACACAAATAAATAAAAAACTAAAATGTGTGTTCTTGCATGCGTTTTCATCCTTACTTGTAGTGAAGACGGTGGTCACGTGACGACTCCTCTGGGCTCCAGCGATGGCCTGAAGTCTCACGTTGTACTCTGTGGAGCCGGTCAGCTGAGCCATGCTGTAGGAGGACGCTGTCGGGCTGAGCACCACTTCCTGAATCCATGAACGCGCATACACAACAAGACAACAAGACATTTACAAAGAGCAGAACCACACTGGAGGTTCAACCACAACATGTGCACGTTTGGCCTGATTGCTCATCTGTTTTTTATACTGACTGGTTCATTTTGACTTCACTTTGGTATGAAAAACTACTTCTCAGAGGTAAATATTGTATTTTTTACCATGATAATATTTATGTAACAAATTTACAGTTGGTGCCCAAAAAGTGTTGCATTCATGGGCTATGGGGGGAAAAAAATCTAACTTAGAACACAATAAAATAAAAACACGTGAAGACCGTGAAACATATTTTTTTGAGTGTCGTGCATTCAAAAGCAGATTTCAGATGTCCGAGTTTCCTTGAATGCACCAAAAAATAAAGTTTTTATTTGATAAGTGATTCCTTGACGGTGTAAACAGAGAACAATGAAGTTATATAAATCCATAACAGGGTGGCATGCTTTTGGAAAATTGTCGTCAGTAAGCATAAATTTATGCAGTCTGTGTTTTTTTAAGGTATAAACAAGAAGAAAACAGCAGTGATTGGACTGATGCGGGGATGTACGCACCCTGATTGTACCATCAGCTGTGGAGAAGGTGAGCGTGTAACCAGTCACAGCAGCCTGCGGAGGTTTCCATGTGAGAGTCCCACTGTCAGTTTGAATGTTTACAGCCGTCAGATCACGAGGAGGATCCACATCTGAAAAATACAACAACACACTGTAGATTTATCATTAATCAAAATAAGAATCAATACAACATTGAGTTTCAGGGCTTCTCTCTCTCTCTCTCCCCCCCCCTCTATGAGCCTACCGGTGGTGAATTCAGTAACGGCAGAGTCGCTCTTCTGAGCTTCCTTCATAGCATGTACTCCAACTGTGTAGTGGGTTCCTGGAACCAAGGAGCCCATCTCAAACTCCACCGTGTTCCCAGAAACATGCTCCACCATATGGGACACTGTAAGGCAGGACACACCCACCAATCAATTAACCAAACGTCACAGTATCAAAGCAAAATGTGTCAATCACACACACTTTGACACACACTGAAAGAAAAACTGTTTCACTTGTGTTCTGTACAAACATCTTCTCGGTTCAACCTGTTTACTTTCTCCATTCAAGTCAAAATCAACCAGGATTGAAATCTTAAGGAGTGCAGATAATAGATAGAAAAGAAAGAGATCACACCTGTATCAGCGGTGTAAGTAATGACGTAGCCATCAACAGTGGCCACAGACGGCTGCCACACCAACAGGGCTGAGGTGTCGGTGACGTTAGCTGCAGCCAGACCCTGAGGTCTGTCCAAAGCTGGAGGACACACAGAGACAATTCAGTTTACTAGGAACAAGTCAGGGTTCCTAGTAGTAGTAGTCTGACACAGACGTGTTGTATAATAGAAGAGGAAGAAGAGGAAGAGGAAGAAGAAGAAGAAGAAGAAGAAGAAGAAGAAGGCCAACCTGTGATTATAGTGTCGGTGCTGGGGTCACTTTCCTCAAGACCCTTCACAGCACTCACAGTCACTCTGTACACTTTTCCGGGGGTCATGCCGGGCAGCAAAGCCTCAAACACGTCTCCGTCCGTGGTCATGATCAGTGGGCTTCCTGTGGAGGAGAACAGAGTAAAATATGGGTCCTGCACTAAAAAACACATGTTGTACATTACAAATGATAGAATCATTTGATTTGATGATTTATCTGCAAGTGCACTCCATAACTAACTCTTTTATAGTTTTATATATACAGTATATCTCTTATTTTTTTTTACTTTCTCAATTTACAGCATAAGGAGGCTACTTATTTCTGTCCTCGTGATGCTGTAACAACCAAATTTCCCAAATTCCCTTGATGGGGATCAATAAAGTATTATATACTTGATCATCAACCAAAATACTGGACAAATTAACTATTCTTTGCTTTTCAGCGCACTATTTTATAGTTCTTATTATTCTATATATGTTTAATGGTTACATATCTTTTCTGTTTAATTCTCTGTCTGTCTGAAGCACTTTGTAAACTTGTTTTGATAAATGCATTCAAATAAATTATTATTAAAATCAATAGGAGGTGGATAAGCACAATCTGTCCAATAGTTGTCAAGAAAAACTAAAACGTCATCCTCATTGTGGCGCCAGAGGGAAATTCAGATGATCAACAAAGTCAATAGGATTCATCCTCTGGGGATCATGAATGTCTACACAAAATGTCATTGAAATCCAGCCAATAGTTGTTGTGACATTTCAGTTTGATCAAATTCAACTCCAGCTGAACTGTGAAAGTGAATTAAAATGTGGAAATAAACCAGCAGTCATCTGACGGATTGACCTCCTACCTCCTTCAAAGGGCACGTAGGTGATGCGGTAGTTATCCACCGGAGAGCGAGGCATGGACCAGTGAACTACAGCCGAGGACTCCGTCACTTCAGAGAAGCTGAGTCCTCTTGGAGTGCTCAGGCCTAGTAAAGTATAGATGGATATGCACAGGACAAAACAAGATGAGTTAAAGTGAAGAAAATGTGTCCAATAACATCGCAAGAAAGGAAGACGCTGGGAGGATCCATCAGAGTGAGACATGGAGTGAAGCCTACACCAGAGGGATGAAGATGATTAGTGGGACTTCAGTTCTCATCTCTCCCAAAAGCTTAGTTGTTAGTTTTAAACTGCATACTTTGCTGTGTTGTTTGCATATACATATACCTGTCTGAGCAACCCCAGTAATAGGTTGGGAGCGTTGGTCCAATGTGACGCCATAGAGCTCGATTTCATACTCGGTGCCGCTCATGAGTCCAGTTAAAACCTTGGTTCGGTCAACGCCGCGGACGCTGTACTCTTGAGGGTGAGCTAATCTTTTGCCGTCTCTTATTTTGATCACGTATCGGTCGAACAAGTCTTCGTCAGCCGTCCACGACAGACGGAAACCGTCGGCCATGATGTCCGAGACAAAGAGATGCTCCACCTCCAGCTCAGCCTCTGGTTAGACAAGGAAAACATAACGTTGCAGTGGGATTTGGTGCTTTTATCCCCCAGCAATATTCATCAACTTCAAGTATGGAAGAAGTCAGGAAATGAGCAAGAAGGTTTTTCCAGGCGGCAGCCACCTCCACATCTGCCATGCTCAGGCGTCCGTTAGTGTAAAGCAGTTAAAAACCCCACGGCACACGGGCAACAAAGGTTTTGGCGGATTAAAATGTCAAGATGCTTTTTGTAAATGTTTATTGACGTCTGTTAACCGGGGTCACGTTCCTTAAAAGGCTCTAAGGGCTCTGTTGGGACGGATTTCGACAAACGCCGGTTGAGACGAGGGCCCCATGCGTCTTCGAGGCATTCAGTGCATTCAAAGACAACGAAACAAATGAGATTAGAAGTTAAATCAACTGACATGTCATGCTCAGAATGTCTTGTTGATTTATCAGTGTTTTCCAGCGTCTGATCATTTAAGTTTTTTTTCTTTAAACCCGATTGATGAAACCAGCATGGAGAAGAACAAAAGGTAGCAGCTTGGTGAAAGTAACTTTAAAGTCCACAGACGTACGTGTGGCGCCAATCAGAAATCTGAAGGAAAACACATTTTAAAATATGAACACAAACAAAATTGCTTGCTCATATTTTGGGAGCTTCACATCTCGTCCTCCCGGTGACGAAGCAAAACGCTTAAAAGTAAAGAAAAGTGAGATCGTAGTGGAGAAGAGTCGTGTTATAAATCAGAGTTAGGGTTAGGTCACGGAACCGAGCTGCAGCCTCACCATCCAAACATGGCGGTGAGCAAACTTCGCTGGATGACATCTTTTATTTTAAACTATCAAACAAAAAGCATGAATTTCAAAGCTATATATAGACCAGCCAGGGTGTGATGGTGAAACTTCAGTTTATCGATCACGTATTTACAGTAGTAGACACTGTTTTTTAGTAAGAGGAGGGGCCTTGCGGTGCACTGTGAGTGGTACCTGTCACAGCCACTGTAGTCAGAGGCCGAGAGAGAAGCCCCGACTCTGACACCCCGGTCAGCCTGACCTCATAGCCTATGCCGGTGATGAGGCCCCAGATGTCCAGGTGACTTTGGTTTCCTGGCACAGTGAACTCCTGAGGCTCCAGCAGCCAGCCAGAGTCAGTCACCACTATGTGAAAACGGCTGAAGCCGCCACTAGAGGGGGCTAATTCCTCCGGCTGCTGCTGCTGCTGCGGCGGCTTCACCTCCCACGACACACGGAAGCCGTAGGGGGTTATGTTGGAAATGGCCAAGTTTTCCACTTTAGGCAAAGGAGCTGAAGAGGAGTGTGTTTGATTTATTTATTTTTTCGTGTGGAGGGGGAACAAGATTCCGTCAGGAGGATAATGTGTGCAAAGATTGCAAAAGCATGTCATAAAATCTGTTCCTCCTGTGAGGGTCATCAGGAGGCAAAACGATGGGAACATCTGAATATAATATTAGTAGAAAATGGATGCAACCTCTCTTTCGTAACGCCACATTTTGAAGCTTGGATTTAATATCTGGAGCCATAAAACCAAGGCAAGAACGAGGATGTTACAAATCTCAAGATTTGAAGACAGAAACATCTTGTACAAAAGTGACTTTTGTAGTCAACGCGGGCATCGACTGGTTATTAGTGGAACTGCATCTTAACACAATTTCGGCTTTAGGTTTTAGCACAAATCATCAGCTAACAGAAATAAATATTAATATTATTTGGGGTTATTAACTCAAATTATCTCATGCATATGCTACCAATATGTGCTCATGATGCATGTCAAATTTGCTCTTATGAAAACTTACAACAATATTTATTATCTGCAGGTCTAAAGCTTGAAATGCATAGAGAGATATTCTGGTATGTTAAGATGATAGCAGGAGACACATTTCCCCAAAAGCTACTTTAGTCCTTTAAAGGTTTTGATGCAAAACCATTTTTTACAGACAACTACAAGAGACGCGAGTTTGAGACATGAGTAAAATACGTGGTACCTGTGACGGCGTGGGCTAACACAGAGGGAGTGTGGCGCCCATGAGAGATACCGTACAGTTCAATATCATAGCCTGTGGCGTCCATCAGGTTAGAGATGGTAAAGTTACGGGCTTCGCCGGGCAGTCTGAACTCCAGCGTATCAGACTGCTGCTCGGGGTCACTGACCCGGACAACAAAGCCATCAAAGTGGCCCGACACAGCGCTCCAGGACAAGCTGAGGTTATGTGGGCTCACAGATGAAGCAGCTATGGGCCCCAACTGTGGGACATCCTCTGAACAGAAAAAAGAACACGGCCTTTCAGTTATGCTGTGCTGGTTGAATCACAATGTGGTTGCAGTGCCAAAAAAGATAAAAATGCATGTAATGTGATACCTGTTGTAGCTACATCAAACAGGGGCTGCATGTTCTGGCCCCCGGCGCTGGCGTACAGCTTTATGTTGTAGCTTGTGCGCGCTTTGAGGCCGGCCATGACCGTGGAGCGCGCGTCTCCTGGCAGAGCGCGCCCCATCGCCTGCGAGGGCAAAGCAGACTCTCTGACTTCTACTATAAAGTTATCAAAAGCCTTCTCTCCTGTCCGCCACGACAGAGAGAATCTGTCTGAGGTAACGTTAGAGACAACTAGCCTGGACAAATCAGGCTCTTCAGCTACAAAGGGGGGGAGAGAAAAATGTAAAATATGTTGATTTATGGACATAGAAAGCTTGTATTTGTCTCCATGTATACAGGCCCGAGCCAGATCTGATAATAGGTGATCCTATTCTTTGTAATACACAAAATCAAAATACCTGTTGATGCAACAATACTGACAGCACTGGTTCGGGATCCCTTGTACGTCCCGTAGACGTAGGCTACATAGTCAGTGCTGGGCCTGAGCCCCGTTACGTCGTGGGACTTTACACCGCGGGATATGTTATATTCCTTTTGCGCCGTCAGCCAATCAGAATCAATTATCTCCAGGATAAAACCATCAAATTCTCCTTCAGTGCCGTTCCAGGAGATTGAAAAGCTCTCTGACGTTAAGTTTGAGATATATAGTTTGCCAACAACTGGTTGATTCACTAAAGAGAGAAATCATTATTAGATTTTCATTAAAAGACAATTTGCAGAACACATTCTAAAAGAGGTGATAAACTACTGGTAGCTCAATGGTTTGATTGATCACATTAAGATGTGTTACAGGACACTCAGCACCACCCACTTGCAATTGCTGATAGTCTGAGTAGCTTAAAAGATTAAATACATACATATGTTTTTGCAAAAGGTTTAACTTGGCAGCTTGACTTTTAAATAAATTATGCCTATTGCTTTTATATATATATATAAAAAAAAGAAAAAGATAAAAGGTGAAAAAAGCTGAAGAATACTGGCCTGCAGGTGTTTATATTAATGTGAAAATGCGGCAAAGGAAGAAATATAATCGTATAAAATATCTCTTTCATGCATGTGGAGGGAGATCTGAGATCAATTCTGTTGCACCAGAGTGATTCAAAGCAGAGGACAGCTCCAAAGAAACTTATAAAAACATATTTTCTACATGCGATGACAAAGTCAGTTGCTTGCAAAACGTGCAGCAGATAAATGAGGCATCATTCAGATGTAAAACAAGGTGGCGTCACTGTAAACCTCACATCATATTATCAGCTTTTTACCTTGATAACGACAAGAAGGTTTAATCATTTGCCACCTAGCAGTTAAAAAGGAAATGAGGATATTTACTTTGAATCAGAATCGACAAACTGATCTCACACGAGCTAACGGAGCTCGTCACACAAAAAAAATCAAAACGTGTGAGCACATCCATGATCCCTCAAGGTTAATCAATTATTCACTGAATGAGTGTTGATGGGATGAAATGAGATGGTCACGCTGTCGCGGTGCGACTGGGCGTGAAAGTAGGTGAAAGTTATTGGTTTTTCTTTTGCAATCATTGCAGCACATCAGCGTCAAACCTCAACCACGATGCAGGGGACGGTAGAGGGGGAGGAGGGGGAGGGGCTTCATGCACTTCGGTATAACTGGGATGGAGGGAGCGGTTCGGGGGTAAGGGTGAACATTTGAGGGGCGTTTGCTTTGTTCAGTGATGCGGCACGAGTCCTCATCACCCTGCCCTCTCTCAGCTGGACAGAAACAGTGGCTGGAGGGTAAAGAACGGTTAAGTTGGACAGCGACGACAGGAATTAGGTTATTGTGTCGTTCTCGTTTCATGCAGCGTGGACGCTCCACTGTGAGTGGGGACAGCAGAGGTTTCGAGTGTCTGTGTGTGCTTCACAGACACCGACTGAAATGGAAAGTTATAAATCAAAAAGGGAAAGAAAGTTAAAGAGTTAAGAGGCCAAAGAAAAACAAAAACAAAAATGCTGCAACGCTGCGAGTTGCAGGTACCTGTGGTGGCTTCAGTGTACACGGGTTCAAGGAAGGAGCCCTGATACATCCCAAACAGGCCAACCAGGTAGCTGGTGTTGGGATTCAGCCCGGAGATGCCCAGGCTGAAAGCGTCCCCGGACAGACTGAGGTTCTGGCTCTCTTCGAAATTCTCCAAGTTTGTTACCTCAATGACAAAGCTGTCAAATTCCCCCCCGGTGGGGCTCCAGGACGCAGTGAAGCCGTCCCATGTAATGTCAGAGGTGGTGAGGTTCACCACCATGGGCTTCAGCTCCTCTGGTAGATAGACAGATCAGAGTGGGGGGGGTCAACTGAATGGATAGATGGACTGTAAAAATGACTCTCGCATAACTTTCCACAATATTCGTCTCACAATAAGTGCGACTGAGAAGTTGGGCCACAGTGAGAGAAAAATTAATATCAGAATTCAGGATTAAAGACGAACTATTCTGAAAAAAAGTACCAGAAAAATGTCAATGAAATGTTACAACTTTTTTCTCAAAATAATATGACTTAAATATGAAATAAATGTATTTGCAGCCCTATACTCAGAGGTAAAGCAAAGGAACATTTGGGATGAAAGAGGATGACGGGTTGTGATGAATGCCTACAAATAAAGAAAACATTTGCTCCATGTACCTGTAGTAGCAAAAACTTTGAGAGGGAAAGATCGCTTCCCTTCCACCAGCCCTTGCAATGTGATACGATATCGTGTGGAGGGGGACAAACCCTCTATTTCAGTGTCCCTCACACTTCCTGGTAGTGTGATCACATGAGCTTGTGTCGCCCCTGACGCCGGAGCACTGAGCTCCACCAAAAAGCTATCGAACGCCTCGTCAGGCGCCGACCAAGCTAGGCCCACACTGGTGGAGGTGACGTGGACCGCGAGGTCCCCCAATACGTCCAGGCTCAAGCTTTCAGGCTCGGCACCAGAGCTCGTGGTACCGGCATCGGGAGTGTTTAGAGGACGGAGGGGATCTGGGTTTTGGGCTGCTCCGATATCCAGAGCAGTTGTTGGGGCATCTTTGATGCTCAGCATAAGAACATCTGGAGAGGTAGGCTTGGGTGCTAATGTGAATAAAAGCAGGTTAATGAATGAATTTGTCACCAGATCTGTTGATGACTGAAAAACAAACCTGTGAAGAAGAAACTGGGTTAAAATAAGAACAACATATTGTAAAGTTCAACTAAAATAATTCTGTCCTTGACAACCTTATTCTCTGATTTTCTCGTCTCTTATCGTCCCAGTTATTTCCAGGACCGCAGACTTTATCATCAAGCAACAGCTCGGGCATTAATGGCGCTAGAGGCAGCGCCATTAATTCTTGAAGCCTTTTGAGTAGTCCACCAGAGTGGAAGTACACAGTTGTCTTCAAATAGAAGGTGAAGCCATGCACAGCCACTTTCATTGCTGCTGTTCTAAAGAAGTTCCGAGTCACTTTTTATTTGTCATGCGAGTGACATATGTTGTAATTTTGCTGGAGGATAATTTAATTCTAAAATGGAGACGATGAATGATGCAGATGGAATGAGCTTTCAGAGAGCAAAATGGTTGCATTTAAAAGCCCAAATGCAGGAGGAAATCGGGACGGACGGCATCTGAACTGTAGATTTCTTCTTGTATTTGAATTTTAGGAAGCAACATTCTGCTGCCGTACTGAAGCCTCGTGAGATGAGGTCAAATGAGTTTTGTCTGTTAGGTTTGCCTTCATTCGGTCATGCATGATGGAAGCTATGATCTCAATGAGTAAAATACCAGCATGCAAATCATACCGCTAAACAACTATTCGTCCTCTATGCAAAATGAAAACGGGACAAAGTGTCCCTATAAACTAAAAGACGAGCTTATACCTGTGACTGCAACAGCTTCAAGTAGCGCAGATCTTTGGCTACTGGTAATTCCGTAAAGTTTTATTTGATACTCAGTCGATGCATTCAGGCCCTGGATTCTAGAGCCAGTGGCATCTCCAGGAAGTTGGACCTCTCTCGCATCCCATAATCGCTGAGTGTCTTTATATTCTACTGTCAAACTATCATAGACGCCGTGAGCCTTTAGTTTCCACGTGAGGTCAAATCCATCAGGCGTGATGCCCGAGATTGTCAGCTCCCCGAGCTCGTCCTCAGGCTCCGTCCCGACTGAGAACTGGGACTCGGAGGGGTCTAAATACGCAAAGCTAATGACATTGTCCTCCGAGCCTGTGGCGGTCATTAGCTCACGGTCGTCTGATTCAGCTAAATAAAATGTGAAAGAGGCTACAAGAAAAAACAAAAAGGCACAAATCAAGAAAGCATCATTTAGGTGTAAGTGCATCTCATTTTCTTGGTGTTCGTTGGCAGCAAAGTCTTCAAATCTGTGGTGTTCATCCATTTATAATACACCAACTGAATACTGGTGGACTTAAAAAACACTAAAATCCAAACAATTGAACAGAAAAAGGTCGTTTTCATTCATCTAATACTCTGAAGAAATTCTGACAGCATATTTTGCACAATAAATCAGTTTTTATCCTCCTTTGCGAGACATATGTTATAATTTACAAGATTACATTGTGGTGAACTAGTTCCCTACCCACCTGTGGATGCAGATAAAGTGACAGGTGTGCTCCTCTTGAAGCCCCTCTCCGCAGCTAGAGTGAGGGTGTAGCTCACTCCAGGACTCAGGTCGGACAAGACGTAGCTAGTCGCTGTGGGCGGGATCTCCACCTCCCCGACCTGTCCATCCTTGGACACGTACACCAGCCGGTAGGCGCCAACCTTGGCCCGAGGCTTCCGCCACCTCAAAGTGAGGGAAGTCTCTGTGGACTCGACTTCTTCCAAATCTCTGGGAGGATCGATATCTGACAAAGAAGGGAAACTATTAAGTGTGTAAAATTGGCTCACTTCTGTTGCATGCTCAACACAAATCATAAATCACTTCCACCCCCAGTTAGTTTAATTTTGTCACCCAATTTGTATAAACAAACATGTCCGCCTGTGTGTTTATGAAGGGGTGTGAGGGACGGCTGTTTGGACAGCGTCTCTCACCAGTTGCGGCATTTGTAGTAGCAGGGAGGCTGTCTCTCTCGTTCTTCACCGCAGTCACACCAATCCCATACTCTGTCCCCGGGTTTAGCCCTGCAGCACAGAGGGATAGAAGGAAAATGACCACGTGGTATGACTAACGCAAGTCATGTGTGCTCGCACTTAATACATGTTTGAGCCTTACCAGTGATGGTAGCTTTCGTGGTGTCCCCTGGTCCTCGTGGGAACAGCTCCTCACCGTGAGTCGCTCCGGAGATGGGACTGTATTTCACCAGATAGCTGCCAACATCCGCTTGACTGTTGGTCCACTCCAGAGTGATGCTGTCGTCCGTCTGGGACACAGCCAGCAGGTCCACGGGGGCGTCCAGGGCTAACGGGGGTAAATACATTTATCATCACATCAGGAGAAATACTTTTCTGCTAACAAACTTTAGATTCACACAGACAATTTAATGTATTATTTTTGCCTATTATTGGAAATTGGGCCACTCCAGATTGCAGTATGCAAACAGATGTATGCATATCAATCAATCAATCAAACTTTAGTTCTGTAGCACCTTTCATACAAATATATAAGAAGATATATCAGGCTTTGATACACATACTTGTTGGTAGGATACAATAATATTTTTGGTCTTTTCCTGGGATTTAGTGACAATGAAAAAAACATCACCATAACTTCAGTATTCACCACAACATTTTGACCTTGCATTATGTTTGTCATGCATGTTATCCATATAATTGCAGCTATAAAGCAATTGAAAATATAAATAAGCCGTCACAAGCCTACCTGTAGTGAATGTGGCGATGGCAGGGTCACTGGTGAGCCCTCCGCTCCTGGAGACGAGCGACACCTTGTACTCGGTGTCTGGCCTCAGGCCGTCGATGCTGTGCTGCTTGTCCGGGGGGGAAATCTCCACTCTGGTTTCATCCGAGGGGTCGGAGCTGGGCCCGTAAAACATGGTGAGTCTGTCCGTGGGAGACGCCGGCTGAGACCAGCCGACCAGAGCAGAGGAGTCCGTCACGTCCTTCACCTCCACCTGCCGGGGGCCGTCGATCTCTAAGGGTGGGAGGCAAGGGGGAGGCAGAAATAAGTGGGACTTTGAGGGAGAGAAAAGTCTGCAAAGTTGTTCTCAACTATAAAAGAATATTGTTATTCTGCCTGTGGCGGAATGATTTATCTTCCAATAGCGACATTCACAAATCAAATCAAGACAAAGTCTCAGTCAGCATTGGTGTGAGACCAAACATTAACACTCCTGCTATGTTTTGGTTTACCCTTTATGCATAAAAACAGTTCATATAAAGCTTAACTTGGCTCTCTCATAATACAAAGCAATAACTTGGATCAACAAGGAAAAAGGCTATAATGAAATATAATGTGGTTCCCTTTCACTCTACACTACTACTTGACAAACCTCCTGTGTTCACATGTGGAGGAGACATCTTTTCTCCGTGTTAAAAGCACCTCTGGGGGTACAAAGGGGTACGAAAGGTTTAACTTTACTTCTATCATTCATCCCTGGAAACCACGTTTAGTTTCAACCTACACAAATAAATGACATCAGAAATGACGTCTTTTCCGTGCACAATGAAACTTGTTCAGCCTGGCGTGCCATATCGATTGCATAAGCAACTGGAGGCATGTCAACAGCGTAACGTATGGAGTAGCGCTGCAATAAAAGCTTCAGCAAGCCCAGAGCAAGATTTAGTGAAAGTGAAAAAAACAAAAACCTATAATGTGGTCATGCTCGGGTGAGACTCAACGTGTCTGTCATTACTCTTCTCTGTTAGATGGAACTATGGAGAGCCAGCGGGGATCACTCTTCTTTTCATTATGGAATTTCACTTTGACATTAATGTATTTATTTTTTTAACTCACTGCTCAACTGAAGTGAAGGTTTTTTTTGTATCTTCCCAAACTGCTAATAGCTGCCAGGCAGAGCAGGAAAATGACATAATCGTATCTGAACTTTTCTTAGGTAGAAGCTGGATAATTGTAAACATATTTGATCTCACCGGTTCAGTCTATTTAATCCAAAGTGGTGAGAAATTGTTTGTTTACAACCGTGAGACTCACTGGTAGTGACTTTTTTGGATGTTGGGGGACCTCTGGTGTTGTTCTTGATGATGCTAACGGAGACTTCGTACTCCTGTCCCGGTCCAAGGCCTGACTGGAGAAACTGGTTTTGAGAAGGTGGAAGGGTGCTCACCACCTTTCCGTTTTCTTCTTTCTGCAAGGACAGAAAAGACGAATGTAAAATATCCTGTTGAGGACGTGCACACAAGAGACCAGATCACTGTGAGAAAATAAGTAAGTTAACCTCCAGCTGGTCTGCATTTAGATTTCTGGCGTTTGATAGAAAAACACAGTTCAACATTTTTAGGCTTACTTTCTTTCTTGTCGAGGGTTAGTAGAAATAATCAAAAGCATTCTTATATCCGTCAATTTGTAAATTTGAAGCTCGAGCCAGCAGACTGTTAGCTTAGCATAAAGACTGGAAACAAGTGGAAACAGCTAGCCTAGCTCTGTCCAAAGATATAAAGGAATTATCCTACCTTTACCTCTAAAGCTAAATCAAACCAATCCGTACAAAAGCTGTGTCTTGTTATGGTTTCATTCATACAGAGCCAGGCTAGCTGTTTCCACCTGTTTCAAGTCTTTATGCTAAGCTAAGCTAACTGGCTGCTGCTTCATATTTAGCGTACAGACATGAGTGTGGTATCAATCTTCTCATTAAACTCTCAGCGTTTATGTCTGCATGACGCAGCAGCTGTCACAGGAAATGTGTAAGAGGACAGAGGACCGTCGTGAAGTAAACTACATCACACGGCCCGTTATCAAAATTAACTCGAAGGTCAGGAAAGGACATACATGTTTAAAAAAATGGATGAAAACTCTGCAGCATAATTTAAAAAGGCCTACAACTTATCAGCTGGCACAGTAATATACAGTATTTCCAAAGCATTACTGCCTCGGATTTACCCGCAGTGACATCCAGACCTCGCCCTCACTGAGGGTTTTTTTCCATATGTCAAAGCAATTTTAAATGGTTAGCACTGAAATAAATCCATGTTTCACTGAGACTTCCAATAAGCTGGTACAGATTTATCACCTCTCACTTTTTCCCCAGTCGCTTAATAAAAAACCCGGGCGAGCCTTCAAAAGAGACGGGCAGACTGACCGTGTTGCGGAAATAGATCTCCCAGCCATCAAAGTGGATGTCCAGCTGGTCCCACATCACCTCCACTGAGGTCTCTCTCACTGATTTGAATATTAAACCCTCTGGCTTTGGAAGCTCTGGAGAGTCGGAAACAGAAATAATCATTGTCGGCTGAGCCACATCAACTTGTTCTTCTATATTTATTCACATTAAACCAGCATGAGGACGCCTGTGACGTACCCGTGGCCACCCTCGCGCTGATTGGGACGCTCTTTTTGTTGCTCAGAACGGCGTAGACATTGATCAGGTACTCGATGCCGGGTTCAAGCTCTCCGACGGTGGCCGCCGTTTTGTCTCCTGTCACAGCGAACTCCAGTTGAAGACCACCAGGACTGGTGGGCACGTATGTCACGAGGTACTCTGTCACCAGCATCTCGTTGTCCCAGGACAGGTCCACCGTGTCAGCGGTGACCTCGCCAACAGTCAGTTCCTTTGGAGGAGACACTGGAGGGGGGGAAGCAGAATGGTGTTTCCTCGTTACCTCAATCACCACACAGAGCTTATGCAAACCCCCACATCTGGCTGTGGTGTAAAGAACTGCCAAAAACAATTGGGAACAAAGTGCTGACAAGGGCAATACACGAACCGACAAACCTCTTTTATATTCACTGAAATAGATTCTCTCAAGATGAGTGAATTTTGAGAATAAGAGGACATTACATCACCCCGGATTTGATTTTACGGTACAACTAGTTAACACATGGAAAGTTTCAGAATTTGTGAGCTGCCAGATTCTTTTTGTGTGCGTGTTTCTGCGGTGAATTAAACAGAGCTTCTTACCTTCTGAGCAGTCTTCTCCGATGTATCCTTCATCGCAGACGCACTGACCGTTCACACAGCGGCCTTTGTCCTGGCAGCTGTTGAGGCAGCTCAGCTCTGCGCAGCTTTCTCCTTCATATCCACTCTCACACGTGCACCTTCCGTCGACGCAGCGCCCCATGTTGTTGCAGTTGCCAGGACAGACGTGGACAGAGCAGTCGTCTCCCGAGTAGCCTTCCCGACAGACGCACTTGCCGTCCATGCAGTTGCCCCGGGCCAGGCAGTCGTTGGGACACGCCTTCTGACTGCAGTCCTCTCCGGAGAAGCCCTCATCGCAAACGCACTGCCCGTCGACGCATCGGCCGCGGTTTTGGCAGTTGCTGGGGCAGCTCAGCTCACCGCAGTCCTCGCCGGTGAAGCCCGTATGGCACACACAATGTCCCTCAATGCACTCGCCGTGGCCGTAGCAGTTCGAGGGGCAGGTCCTGATGCTGCAGTCCTCTCCGGCAAATCCCTCTTCACACACGCACTGTCCGTTAACACAGCGCCCCCTGTGCAGGCAGTCGTTTGGGCAGGAAAGCTCAGCGCAATCTTCTCCCCGGAAGCCGACATCGCAGGCGCACTGTCCGTTTACGCACTGGCCTCTGTTGTTACAGTTGTTCAGACACGCCAACTGGCTGCAGTCTGCGCCTTGATAGCCGATGTCGCAGATACACATCCCGTTGAAGCACGTGCCCCTGTCGTTGCAGTCGTTGAGGCAGGTGAGCCGAGAGCAGGCGTCTCCGCTGAAGCCGGCGGCGCAGACGCACTGGCCGTCCACGCAGTAACCGTTACCGTGGCAGTTGTTGGTGCAGGTGCGTTGTCCGCAGTCCTCCCCGGCGTACCCCTCGTCGCAGTAGCAGGTGCCGTTCTCGCAGCGTCCGCGGTCGTAGCAGTCTTTGGGACAGATGAGTTCAGAGCAGTCGGAGCCGGTCCAGGGTTCGTCACACAGGCAGTCTCCATCTTCACAGCGACCGCGGCCAAGACAGTTGTTGAGGCACTTGGTTTGCGAACAGTCTTCGCCGAGGAAACCATCCGAGCAGATGCAAACACCTCCAACACACTGGCCGTGTGCTCCGCAGTCCGCAGGGCAGACCTGGGTCGAGCAGTTTGTTCCGGCGAAGCCCTTGAAGCACTCACACTTTCCGTCAACGCAGTGGCCCCGGTTCTGGCAGTTACCGGGACAATCGGGTTTGGTGCAGTTGGGTCCATTCCAGCCCGGCTCACATATGCAGCCACAGGTTTCAGCGCTGTAGTTTCCATGACCGTGGCAGTAAGGTTTAGTTCCCACCTCACCTTTGATAAGAAAGTAAAGACCAATGCAATTTTTACCAATTCAATTACAAAGTTTTGTTGAATATGCAATCAACTTGAGTTTCTGGCATTGAAGCAATAGCTTATTTGCTTTCTTGAGAGTTAGATGAGAAGATCGATACCACTCAACCTGAAGGACAAGTGTGTAGGAATAAGTGGCATCTAGTCAACTCAAATCCCCTCTGCTCACCTTTCCCTTTTCAAGGGTTTCAGAGAACTACGTTTGCATTTAAGTAATGCAAATTAAAGCCAGTGTTTGGTTTTCCCGTTGTGGCTTTAAATCGTAAAAAAGTGTATTTTACCTGCAGGACTATTTCTTGGTTGTTTTTTGTTCCAGGCGTTATGCTAAGGTAAGCTAATCAGCAGCTGGCTTTATATATCGATGGCATCGATCTCCTCCAACTCTCAGCAGGAAAGCGAATATCCTATCTCCCAAATGTTAATCTCTTCCTTTACGAGTGCATCACTCAGAAACGGTCCAACGCTTATTTCAGCAGCTATTAGAAGAGAAGACCTTTTTACGTTCATAGATATGCAGCAACTGTATCTCATGGCATTTGAGCCAAATAAAGGCCCTTTCAAACTGGAGAGTATTACACCCCCACACTGGATTCCTGAACTCCCCAACAGATGAATGGAACAGATGTGCTGTGTGGTATTCTTAACGTTGCACTTTCCAATGCAGTTTGAGAGAAACAAAGGATTATTTTACCGTACTTGCTGTAAGCTACATACCAGACAAAGGACGACAGACAAACGACACCTACCCGTGGCCTGTGCACCGCAGCAGGGCCCGTCACCGGTGCACTGATCTCTAAGTGCTGAAACTTCTCCTTCAAGCATCTCCAGTCGGCTCATGAGGACTTTCAGGCCGGGCAGGTCTTCGGCGCAACCACAGGCCTGCCGAGGTACGTTGATGCGGTGGGTGAAGACGATCTGGTTCTCCCCATCGACCGTGTGCTCGGCGATGTGCTCGCCCGAGGAGACCGCTGCATCTTTAGGACGGAGCTGCGTGCTCTCTGGAGCGTCCAGGTCCACCGAGCACAGGGAACTGGCGGGAACATTGATGTTGTAGACGTGGTTGAACACCACGGGATGGTCCGCACTCGGCAGCGTGATGTTATGTTCTTGAGAGGGCTCCAGAGTCTGTCGTCGATGCCGGAGGATTTGCTTAACGAGACCAGCGTTTGATAAACTGAGCAAAGCGGTCAGGAGGAGGCAGCTCAGGACGCCTCGTGTACCCATGTTAGATGTGGGATTAGTGAAATAAATATCCGTTTGAACCTCTGAATGAAGGCCAATCCTTAGTTAAGGTGAGGGTTCTGTAAGACAGAATGAAAGTATTTCATCACACAAATGTAAAGCTGCAACGATTAGTCAAAACATATTAAGGATTTTTACACTCGGGAACAACAACAACAACACTTGCTATCTGATGTTTACATCCTGGCTGATTCCGCAGCTGATGGAAGAAGCCAATAAGAGACCCAATAGTCGGATAGGTTTGGAATAGATAGGCTTTGTTTTTATGTGTCACAAGCCAAAAAACACTGTTAAAGACAAATGAGTCCAGTTATAAACCCAATGGTTTGGTAATGGCAGAATTAATTAAGTCTTAAGTGTGAGAAGAAACCAACACAAACATGTGAAGTGTTTCAGAATTATTTACCTGCAGTTGCTAAACAATCAGCTATATGAAGTTATGATGTTCTTTTTAAATCCACTTTTTCTGAGATATTACTGGACTTTTCTAATTCCCGCTGCAACAAATGTGTTCAAATTGGAACACGCAGTCAGTCAGAGGAACCAGGAGCCCTTCACACTATTCAAACTGACTCCAGGCTTTTTCTGTGGCCCACCCAAGACTTCTTTTTTTTGTGCGAGTCAGTCTGATTATTATTTACAGTTTGTGCTACATTTCTAACTGACAACACAATACCGCAAGCCACCGTGGGTGCAGGAGTTCGCTGTATAAAAAAAAAAAGCTGTTAAAACCAAAGAATCCACAGCTGCGCTGGCACGTCAAGCTCTTTCATAGTACACACATATATGAAAAGTCTCAGCTGTTTTGCATGAAACACTATATAGAACGTATAAGACAGAGCATATCCTATACACAGGACTCCTTCTCGCCCACGATGACTTCATCAGCTGGACACCAACAACGCTATAATTTGTGGGAGCCGGACGAGAAGTAATGACAAGCTTCTTCCTCAGCGTGGGAAAGCCTGCCTGTGTTACTCAGTGTTGAGTTTCCAAAGGGTCCGAGTAAGCATACTGAAAATCGATAGAATAGGCCAACAGTGATTGCACAGACTAACTGACATACTGTATCTGTGCAGTGCAGGATGTCTGCTGCTATGTCTGGGAGGCTGCAAACTCTATGCGTCTATAAAAAGGGGGTTGTATCTCTGTCAGTGACGCAGAATTAGGTTCAGATTTTTTTTGATTGGTAGCATCTGACAGAAGCTCGCACATGCAATCAAATGAAAAATGACTTCCAGAAGTGAATAGTTCAAGTGGTGATAGCTATGAAAAGACATGTGGTGCTCTTGGATTTAGTTTCTCACGAGGACTTCTGGAAACTATTTGTTCAGACAATGCTGATACTCGGCTAAAGTAGATATTCAACAAAAGGTTCAGCAGAGTATGTAATGACTGCATTCACCTTTTCCTTGCCACTTGTTGATCTATGAACAGGATTTATTTTACACTGCAGAAAAACTGAATCACAACAGATCACAGCAACCGGCAACTTAACCAAAACCTCCATTCTGATCCACACATATCAAAATGCAAGAAAAAAGAAACCTAAACATACGAGATCCCGAGCAGGACAAGAAACTAGTATCAATGAAAAAAAATAACATGCAAAATTAAATACATTAAGATGTCACATGAAGAGAAAACTATTATTTATCCTGGAACTAAATCTGCTTAATCATTCAGCCCCCCATCATCCATCATTTAGACAAATCTTTTTAAACAGAAAATGTTGCAAATATGAACGAAAATGGGCCCAAAAATCCTCAATAATACACACACATCTTGCCTCCCTCTACATTCTCAATATTAAACCGGTCCCTCATCTACCTTTGACCCGACACCACAGGGTTAATGCAGCGTTCATGATATAAAGATATCGTAATATATTCTGAGGTTGTTATATCGTCTGACTTCAAGTTGAAACGGACAACATGGGAATCTCTACCATCCATCCCATTAGACATGAATGCTGCAAAACTCAAACCAAAACTCTGAATATCTTCTACGTCATCAGAATCTAAATAAATAAACTACAGTCACAAGGTTCAGGATTGATGGGCAGATTGAACCCGTGTGTATTCATCTTCTGTTCCAAAATATGAAGGAGCTCTTCACAGGTAGTGATGAATCTTTCCTGCTAAAGATTTATATTTGGGGAAAAGCACTAAAACAGATTAAGAAGCAGGAATCAACAGACCATAATGTGACAAGTTTCGGGCTATTGGCCAACAGTCTTTGACTGCAGCAACAAGCTGACAGGACATTTTGTGGTTTCAGAGGAGTTCACCGTTGTCCTTAACTTTCCATTTCTTCCTTTTTTTAACAGATTATATTTGGATGACAGGCTGCATGATTTATTCCCTAAATCACACAAATACTCACTGTCACCACAGTGCCTCTTAACCCCTCTCATCAATCCTCTTTCCTCTCCTTTCTCGCCCTGACCTCTGACCTTTTCTTTCTCCTCACCAGCATTTTTTTTTTTGCACCCCCGCCACCTAAGACACAGATGTAAACCTGAGCTCGAGTTTCACAAGTCCTCGCACATCTGGCGAGTGGTGGGATAAAAGGTAGGTTGTGGCCGGTGTTGTAAATCAGAAAACCCGAGTCTGTCAATATGTTTCTGATCTCCTTCTAGAAAACTTTACAAGACACAAAGAGGGATCGTTTGCAGGTCTCGAAGGTAAAGAATGAATCCTATAAAGAAATCCTCAGCACACGTTTCAGCTGAAGATGCTCAAAAGTGGCTCGATGTATGTTTTAAAAACGTCAAATAGGATTCATACTGTAGACATAATGCTTACAGTAAAAAGCCAAGTTAAGATCTTTTAAAGGAGACGAGGGGTTGACCGGGGACATCTGATGAGACTACGGGACATCGGAAGACAATTTGGAGAGAGAAATTTAAGTAAATATAACCTGTTCACTAAACTATAATCCAGAGTTGCTGTAGCTTTAGTACTCTCATGCTGGCAGAGAGAAGGGAACTTTTCCGCGTGGAAAAGAGAAACTGGGAATGTTGGCCCCGGACTGCCGACATCTGTTTTGCTTAGTCAAAGAAACAAAAAAAGAAAGAAGGCACACAGTGGTTCTTGTTTGGTTTCCAGACAAAAAGTGAAAGTGCGACACGCGTGCATCGTCTCTGATCGTCTTTGTGCAAATCAGCCGGCTGAAGAGCCGCTTCTGGTGACGAGACACAGACGAGGTCGTCTTCGTTTCACATCCAGGGGAGCAGCATGAGTGCATCGCGTCTGGACGCACTTATGGAAAACATTTGTGGCCGACGGCGGCGTGTCAGGACTCAGCGCAGTGAACATTAATCTGGTGCATCTGCTTGTTTGTTCATCTGTGATATTTTAGCTTTTTTTTATTTGTCTGATCCTCCTGGCACAGCTGGAAATCATCTCAAGAAAAGCTAATTGGGACTCGTTACTGTAGCAGATACGACAATAGCAGAAATCGCAACACCTCATTAGCGGATTGCACATTTTCCCCGCTGTTGAACAGATGAAGTGTTCCTTTAAGAATAATAAACCGGAGCTTTATGTGTTCCCATGTGAGCCGGAACAGGATGCAGACTTCACTTTCAATTTGCAATCATCGGATCTCTCCTCAATCAAGGAGAAAGAGCTTAAAGATTTGTAAAAAGAGACTAGTTTTTCCTTCTTTGGAGCAGAAACGATTAATGGATCAATGGAAAATTAAACAATTTTGATAGTCGGCCATTTGTTTCAGTCAATTTTCAAGCAAAAAATCCCCCAAATCGGCTGGTTTCAACTTCACAAATGTGATGAGTTGCTTCTTTTTTTGGTCAAACACGTTAGTAAACTGACTATCTTGGACAAATCAACTATTTTAAGATGTCACCTTAGCCTCTGGGAAATTATGGTGCACATTTTATTGACAAAGCGACCGATTAAAGGTGCCCTGTGGAGTCTTCTTTTAAAACATACACAAGTTAATATCCAGCGATCCTTGAGGTCGTTTTCTTCTAATTATACTACAGTTCTTTTAATTCTGTTTACATCCATGTTTACTAGCCTGCGGTCTTCTTTGCAGAGTTTAATAAGCCAGAAATTTAACCAATTACAAAACAGCCGCCTAATCGCCCTCCTAATCAACACACCTGCTTCAAGACGATAAGGCCCGACACCGACACCGACCCTGCGCCGCTACATCATCCTCAAATATACTTGTTCAAGTATTCTGCACTGTAAAACGATATCTAATGTTAGATTGTCTGATCGAGGACAAAGAGCGACGTGGATTATTGGACGAGTAAGCCCGTCACAACATCCTCATTAACTCTGCCCACACAAGCTCCGTCGCTCAACTGACCCTGAAGTCCAACACATTTAAGAAGTGTGATGTTGAGTTATGATCGACCCCTGGCTCTTCGAGTGCACAGAGGTCACGCAGAGGGAAAGTGTCTGGACGAGACCTGGGGGGGGGGGGGCTCAGGCTATTAAACCAGCTGTCCCTCCAACTGTGCTTTTGTTTCACGGAGACACCTTTCTCCCTCTGCTGCACGGACACATCCCAGGACGGCCAGCAGCACATAGCAGAGAGGCTGTAAAACATCCCCACACTGAAGAGCTGCAGACGAGACATGACGCGCACGCAGATACGAGTCCTGGGGATGAAACTAAAAAGGAACTAAATCATTATAATCTTCCTCCGCTGAAAACATTCAGAAGCTAAAACCACCGAAAGCCAGACTTGGATTTCAATTAAGCAGAGCTAATGGACGGCATGGATGAAGTGGGGTTTTTGTTCTCCTTGCCCACACTGGCAGGCGCTGCCATCCACTTTTCCCTTTAATTTAATCTCCATGATGGAAAAATGACACACAATGAAAACAGAATTGCATTGCAGAAGGTAATGTGATGAATCATCAGGCTGCAAAGCTGCAACCAGAGAAAGCAGATACTTGCACACAATGTTTGCCACCACACACACACACAGTTTATTTTTACTTTTAGGAGTATTGATCTACAACCTGACAAAAATCTGAGAAAATCTTTTTGGCACGAAGCGTGCTGGCTGCTGATCAAAGCTTCCACATGTTCTACTCCCCCAGCAGTCAGTCATCTCTGATCCTGCATTGGCTGCTGTGTGTGTGTGTGTGTGTGTGTGTGTGAGACTGAGGAAGAAGTTGCAGTATTCTCTAAGAATATACTTCCAATAACACCTTCTGGTGTCATAGTAACCTTCGCTAGACTGCTAAAGAAAGGTATGTAACCTCTATTGTATTCACCTCTAATATGGAAACAATAATTCAAGAAAAATGCACAGGAAAAGTCAAGAAAATGGACATGAATTCCAAGGAAATGTCTATAAATATACATAAAATATATCTTCCTACCTGTCACAAGTACTTGCAGGTTAGATGAGGCGCTCCTCCGAGTCTTCACGCATTCATTGAGGCCAAAAAAAAAGTGATGCTTTGCTCTGTTGTGACAACTGCAGCCTCTCCAGCAAGGTAGCAGCTCTGTCAGTCAGTCCTCCCTCAGCCAGCTTCCTTATCGCTCCTTCACAGCTCAGACTGGAGTTCAGCTCTTTTACTGACAGAGGGAGAGAGAGAGAGAGTGAGAGAGTGAGAGAGTGTGAGTAACTGTCTTTTAAAGTGTGAGCAGTAGTTTAGGTCAGACCCCCATTGCTTAGACTCCAACCCTTAAATAGCCATCATTTTCCCCTCCCTCCGCTGCTCTTCTGTCCTCCCTCTGCTGCAACTAATCTGGGCTGCTGCCTTTAAATGAGATGCCAGTGTTACTGGGAGTCATGACAGAGCGAGCAGCGTTCGTGGTTGTGCAGGAAAATTAGAGGGGGAAGCCGGGGAATGAGAGGAAAGTTAAGTCCGAATGTAGAGAGCAGACAGACAGTTTCCCTTCAATGGGTTTGCAATAATGATTTACGATCGTCTCCCCGCACAAATAAAGAACAATCAATGTTCTCTTTCCTCAAATATATTGTATTTGAGGACATCCCTACGAACAACTACTTCTGATTTCCATACTTTGCACAAATCCCTCACATGTGAATCTTCCTCCAGCTCTGTCACAGTGATGGATATCCAACCACATTTTATTCTTGCTATGCATGAAAGCACTCTTAATCAAATAAATGTGTGGCACGTCCCCTGATTCAGCTCCAGTGATTATCCAGTTGGTGATGCATTCATAAAAAAGTGCAGAAGTGGACATTTAAGAGTGAAGCCAACTTTCTTATTTCCTGGAGGAAATGTATTCTTGGTCAGACACAGTTGTTCCTGAAACAGACACGGTTACTTTCTCATACATTTAACAGATGGGATGAGCAGGAAACAGACACGTTCTCAAGCAGCCATCTTGGATTCAAATGAAAGGAAGCTTTCAGGGAGTACGTAATACCAGTTATTCCCAAACCTGCGTGTAAACTGGCAAGAAAACTTAGAGCTCGGTTGGGGAAACAGGCACCATATGGACGCAGTTCAGACTTAATATGATTAGATGAGGATTAAACCTCTGTGAGGCAGGTTTAGATCTTCACAAATCCTTTAGATTGAGTGGAACAAGTCAGATTAGGCAACTAACTATATTACTGATTAATGTGCTGATGTTTTTTTTTGTTTAATCGATAATTCATGTGGTTTACTAAATGATAGAGACCCACGGTGGTGTTTTTAAATTGCTTGTTTTGACCGACCAACAGATCCAAACCCAAAGATAATTTGTTAGTTATCATCAAATGGGTGACCGATACCCACCATATTAAAAGTTAGTGCTGCAATTAACAATTATTCTCATTAGTGGGTATTCTGAGTATGTTCTGTTTACTTCTATATATCATTTGGTCTTAAAAATGTCAGAAAACTGTGAAAAACTCCAGCGCGAAATGACAATCATTCAGTTATCAAAATAGTCTTAATTGCCTAATACTTTCAGCACTATTGAAAGTTATTGTTTGATAATAGATGACCACTGATTCATGTTTTCCTTAAATACAAATGTAATGTAATTATAGCTCAAAACAGAGAACCCGTCTTTGAACAGGATCTTAAATATGCATCAAAAGATTTGAGCCCACTTCTGCATTCTTCAAGAGAAAATAAACTCCAATCAGAAATGTGAGTTCTGGTCTTGTTTCTATAAACGGAGAAGATGAAGGAGCATCGGACTAAAACAATAGATCCTGACTAATCTAACGGCACAACAGAGATAAGAAGATTTGTCACTTTTCATTGCAGGACGGTCGGGTCGGGTCAACGAAGCCACGAGATGCAAAAAACCACAAGAGTCTGTTCTTCAGCACAGGAAATATGAGCATGTGTGAGTTCAAGTATGCGATGAAGAGGCTCCACTCACAGAGGCAGGACGATAAACTCATGAAATCTGTAACATTCGTTAAATCTAATATTCTCCTCAGCTTCAGAAGAGCCCGGGGATCTGGTCTGAAGGACCTGAAGGCCCCTTTTTAAATTCAAGGCTTCCCATGTGTTTCACATGTACTGCACTGAAATACAACCCATGAGGCTCAAGCACCAACACATAGAACATTGTTCACGTATAAACTAAAGCTATGCAGCTGTAAACAAAGGGTTTACATTGGGACTGGGGTTTTGATCTTTTGATCTGGACCCAACGAGTGATATGAAGATGGTATTTTTGACCTTTTTCAGTATTTTCTAATGTTTTTAATGACCAATTAATTGATTAATGGAGAAATAACCAGCAGATTAATCAATAATGAAAACAAAGAATTGGCATTCAGTTTTTGAGACACTCAATTTCCTTTTTCAAGAAACTCAAAGATGACTTTTTTCTCTCTTTAAGTGCACTAAAATATTCTTCTGTCACTAAAGACTAAACATGAATCGGTAGTTTATACACTGGCATGCTTATAGAGATTATAACCCGTCCATACAGGTGCTGACGTGCTACTCGGTCCAGTCCTCTATAATCTCAACAGGCTGAAAGTGGCATAAAGAAAAGCAAAGTGTCTCCAGTCTGACCGTTGGACGGGGTTGTAATCATATAGCGCGATGGGTCATGGGTAGTTTGGGCTCAACTGTTCACTTACAATGAACCATGAGGTCAGTAAATGTTTTGGGTTTTTTCCAACATGAATATAAATGACAAGAAACTGACTTTTTTTTCATGTATGGGCAAAATATGTGCCAAAAACATGTATGTTGATACGTACAGAATGCTGTTTATATGGAACAACGTGGAAAGAGCCAATGCAAGAGTCATTCATGTAGACATGGATTACAGGGAAATATTTGCATTGTTACTTACAGAATGTTTAATTATGAAGCTCTATAATTACTGTTTTTGCAAGAGGCGTTAAAGTAGGAGGTAAATGAACAGTTTGATCTTTCTTTAGTTAAAGAGTACAAAACTAAGGGGAAGAAAGAACAGGGAAATAAAGTTGAAATGTGTTGTGTTTGATTGATTACTCTTGAAATAGTGCATTTCCTTATCATTTATTTAATTGTACTTCGAGGCGTGTCTTGACTTGTGCTTTTCATTCAGCTTCCTTTAGAGTCGTTTGAAGTGTTCCTTCGTCTTCACGGTGGAGGTTTTGTCGCATTGTTAAGCAAACAAAATTTGGATCTTGCAGCTATAGATGCATTTATAATGCAATCAATTAAGAACTGCACTCCGTTGATTTTCATTTAACAACCTACGTGACTTCTAGAACCACTTGGATGCAGCAGAGGTGATTTAGGTTTATTCTACTAAGGTGAGTTTTGTATTTGATTGACAGTTTGTAGAGATCCGTTTTCACTTTTTTTAAATAATCAGTATCAAAAAGCCACATTAATTAGACTTAATATAAATATATGTATTTAATGTTGTAAAACTGCCAAGGGCAGTGAATACTTGAAGAGTACCAAGACTTTATCCTAGATACACAGAATCATGTTGTCCCGTATCTGCTCCTCTAGACTTCTACATTGTGAGGGTTTTTTCCAGCGCTGGGTCACCAGATTTATTATCAACAAACTGTCAGTAACTCATAAACACAGCAACACAGCTAGAAGCTCCTTCTTAGAAGACCTCATTAGTTTTAATGACTCTTGTAAAGTCGTGACAGTTGCGAGAAACTGCATCCGCCTACAAACAGATTGTTTCATGATTACAGCTGCTCCTCAAATGCTGGAGGGTGAAATAAAGACACCAAGCACCCTCATATGTGGCGTTACAACCTCACCAGTCTGACTCTGAGTCAGCGCCGGGCCATGTGCAGACGCTGAGCAGACCAGAGACGTCACAGCTCACACAAACATGAACTAATATGGCTCTGAAATGCTTCGCAAATCCCTCTCCGGTCGCTCCGGAGGATGCCGGCAGATCTGCAGTGAGCCTCTGATTGCAGCCACCAGAACCACAGACGAGCAAACTGTGCACGGAGATCCCTTTGTTGTCTCAGCGCGGTAGCTCTAATGAGCTTGTGTGCTTTACAGATTAGAGGATCTGCACTTGCAGGCATTAGTTGAAGGATTATACTGACACTGGGTGAATGAGCCGTACTGAACGTGACCCTTTGTTAACAGCTGTGTTTGGCTGGGGTGAGTTGGAGCTTAATCAACCACAGGGCGCGATATCCTCAATGAGATCAGTGATCAGTCATTCGTCACCGCAGTTAATGTCACAGCGATGAGAAGCATTACACAAAGCATCACACACACAATTCATATCATAAATGCATTATATAAGGCCAGCTGGCTCCATTTCTACTGAACACTAATAAAACACACTTTTGCAGAGAATATACACAAAAGGAAATGTTAAGCGCTTGCCGAGGTTTTTACAGCAGACACAAAACAGGAAATGTGTGTACTAAATTTGATAGCAATTCATCCAATACTTTTTGAGAAATGATCTTAAAAACAGATGTCCATCTCGTGGCGCTAAAGGAAAAAGTCAGTGGATCATCAAAGTCAGTGGGCTTCATCCTCTGGAGACTATGAACGTTATAACATTTCACAGCAGTAGATCCAACAGTGGTCGAGATATTTCAGTCTGGAACAAAGTGGTGGACCAATCAACCGACAATGACGTCCCAATAAATGAATATATTATCTTAATTCAACTTAAAAGTGTTCAGATAACCCCGAACACTTGAACAGATTCAAAACACAGCCGCGGCTTTAAGACTACAAAAGGAACGTGCGTCTGGTGTCGACGATCCAATTTGTTGAGTTAATTGTTTTATTGAGTTTGGAGGAGAAATTATCATCGTCAATTAAAACAGACAAAGAAATAAGAAAGACGTGCATTGACTGCATTAGGAGTCTTTTGTCGGTGCTGCATGCCCCAGTGGACTCGGTGTTGTAAAGTGAAGATGTTCGGTGGTTATTAAACTTAAAAAGAGAGTCCTGAAATAAAGAGAGAAAACTCAGGAGTAGATAAAAACTGCCTTAGTCAGAAGTTTAACATAAACTCATTACCTTTGGCTGTATCTGCAGACTACTTGATTATAAATAACTTCATACACTTTACTTCAAATAAATGATAAAGCAGAGAATTCTGTGTGCACAATACTATCGTCACAACGACGCTGCAGCTTGCCAACTCAAGAAGATGGTGGAAACGTGCACGTCCCCCCCCAGCAAATCTTCTCAGGCGTTCAGAACAAGCGACACACATTTTCCCAAAACACATCAGCGGAGCGGAATGAAGCCGTGAATGTGTCGACTCAGATATCATGTTGAACGCTCATGCCAACGTCTCTCTGGTGTTTACATCCCTGCATTAGACTGTAATCCTCTCCAGGGTGCTGATGACATTCACGCCAACTGCGATCCTGCCGGGTCTCCATTTGTGTTCGGGATATTTCTATGGAACAGTTCAGCTTCTAACTTTTGAATAACAGTCTGTTTGAGCAACGAATAATTTAAAAGTATTTTTGTTACATTTTTGAATAGTGACCCATCAAAGCAAGGCAATGGCTACCTTTGCTACAGACTCTCTGTGTCTGTGAGTTGTCTGCCAGATAGCTTAATTTCAATAGTACTTGTTCTGAAGAGTACTGAAGTACTGAAGACATACCGGCATATATTTCACTCGGAAATTAGAAGTAAAGTTGTGTGTAGGGTAACCGTTTTAAATCTTTTTCATAGAAAGATTAATTATCTTTCTATCTCTCAATGGTTTCTGTTTCAATCCATATTTGTTGCAGTTTAACCAGATAAATCTGTTGAATTCATTTAAAAACAGTCTGGATTACATAGTCTGTCACAAAATCAAAAAAAATCAGCCGATATTATATCACATTTTTTTAAACTGCCAAATATCGACAGCAATATCATCAAAAATCCAGTATTTGACAGCCTATAAGATGATGTACACTATCTTTTGTACCTGATAAACAAGGATAACTTTCTCTTTAGTTTTCTTCATGCACGGCTGATTCTGCTGTGGCAGTAGCTTCATATTGTGGCTCCAAACACGTCATTTCGTGCCTTTAAAATGCTTCGGCTGAAACCAGTCCTGGATAAGTTCAAGTATCACTGGCACCGTCTGCTGAGCTGCGGGGTTTTACCCGGTTTCCAGGCCTTCTCTCATTCCATCCAGCTGACATTTCACCCTCACTGTGGGAGATGGCTGGTCTTCACAGAGGCTACTCAGTCTGGCCTTAGTTAAGCAGCTACTCGGCGCTTTCATGCACACAGCTGCAGGAACTCTGCGGTCTCAACTTGGACGAGGACATATGGAAAATGTGTGGGAGCATGAAGCGATCGTTCTCATCGAGAAACAGTCTAATAGAAATATCTGGTCCGTCTATGAGGAAATGTTAAATGATTGTAAAAAAGTTGAAGTGAAACCCGTTCCTAACTTAAGGCTAATTTCCACAGTAAATAAGAGTGAAATATGGCAGCGCTAACGTCCACCAACTGCATTACATTCAACTGGGAACAGACAAGAAGTAAATGACTTCCTCTGCAGATGAGCCGGCTGGCCATCAATAACTGTCAACAGTAGCTCTGCTGCACAGAGGGCATGAAGTTTACACCCAGTGTAAAATAAATACGTCATGTCGATAAATACAGTGCATTTCAAACGTCAGGCCCCATTGAGGCAGCACAGCGCACCATGTTTCCCTCTGCAGATGACAGGAAGGATAGGGGTGTCTGCAACTGATCATTATCCTTTTTAAGAGATCCTTTCATGTCGGATAAAAGAAAGCTGGCGATATATAAATGGGATGTTCCGTTAGAGGAGATTAATTAACTTTGGCTCATCGGTGTGATGAGCAATGGAAACAGAGCATTTGTACAACGTGGCGAACATTAGGTCATGGGGATGACATTTTACAGTCGCTGTGCATCTGCAGGAAAGCCATCAACTTCACACATCGCCTGCCCTGCGTCCCACACACACACACACGCACACACGCACACACTAATGTACCGTACAAATACACACACTAAAGTCACTAGAGACAAACTCAGCCTCACATTTAATCTATCTTTTATATCATTTTTTTATCTAAAGCTGAACTAAAGCACGTCTGACTTCTGTACTTTAGTACCTGGGAAACAAGTACCAGGAACCTTAAGCTCCAGGGAAAGTCATTGTAACTGCAGAATAAAAAGGTATCAAAGTAAAGGCAGCAGTCCGAATGAGCCAAAGCTACCACAGGAGGAAACTTCAGCACTGTAAATGCGTGAAAAGCCACGAACATGTTTTGTTCATGAATCTATTTGTATAAAATGTGGTAGGAAACATTAACGAACGCACACAAGGCACAACCAAATATTTACCACATTAGGTCATGAGATTTACAAGAGTGTAGCGGACGAATTTAGAAACGGGAGGAAAAGAACAACAAGGTGCCAATCACGTCAGCAGAGGGTGTTTCCATGAGAACCACATCCAAAGGTTCATCACTTCAGTACTGCTCAGTCATCGTCATTTGTAGAAAGAATAAGTTCACAAAAACACAGAATTGATGAACAATAATTTAACCCTTCTAAGTAATTCTACATCTGGAAACTAAACAAAATACTGACATGTTCTTGTTTCAAACAGCGTAAAGATTGTTGATTTTTGTATTTGCAGGAGGGTTCTCTCTCTTGAAGAGTGGTTTCACTTCACTTCACAAACAGACACCTCTAATCATTTCCAGGAGACCATCATCAACCATTATACGGAGAAATCAGAGTTAAGATGAAGATGGCTTTTTGTTGACATGCCGGCTCAAACAGAGAGAAATGTAGAGAGCTCAGCAGCTGCTTTGTGATCCAAACAACAGAAGAGGAGAGGTGATGTCACGCTTATCAGGCTACTGGGAACGTTGGTTCAAGTCAAACTACTGGATAAACATGTCCACGTTAAGTCAAACATCACCGTGCCAAGCGTCCATTAATCGGATTCATTACTGGAAAGCCAATGGAATGTAATCAAAACTTTAAAGAACAGCTAATATCAAACTGTTGTCATTTAGAACGATAATAAAGTAAACGTTTTTTATTTCACATCGGAGTGATTTGTGGCTGTGATCATTCCTCCCGTCCATACCGGCAGTGAAGAGATCCTTTTCTAGAGTAGGAGACAAAATCTACATCACAAAAAATCATGAATGACGTCACGATGACTACGTCCACTTATATACAATAAGAAGTGGACGTAGTCATCGTGACGTCACCCATTGGTTTTTCGCCGTCGCCATCTTGGAAAATGGCCGTATGTTGTCATTTTTCTGCAACCAACGAACAGAATCTGTCAATCACCGTAAGCCCCGCCCTAAAGCATCCCCTGCTTTATGGTCTGTGTGACTCTAAATGGACCATAATGTACTAAATGAACATCATGCTGTATTGAAGAAGACTTGAAGCTAGAGATTGAGACCATAAACTCATGTTTACAATGTTTACTGAGGTAATAAATCAAGAGAGAAGTAGAGTCATTTTCTCATAGACTTCTATACAACCAGAGGAGTCGCCCCCTGGTGGACAGTAGAGACAATGCAAGTTTAAGACACTTCCTCATTGGCTTCACTTGGCAGAGCCGGAGGTTGCCGCCTGCAAAAAAGGCAATCAAAAGTTCAATGAATGCTAATAAAGAGTATTTTACCAGTGGATAGTGCCTACTAACAAGAGGGCAGATGATTTTGTATCAAGATAGACTTGAAAAGATGTGAACAAATCCATAAAAAGTACCAACAACGTTGACGTTCCAATGTAAACATTTCTCAGGGCCAAATCGAGCCTCACTGCAAGGAGGGAAAAGCAGTCGACTACAAACCGTGAACATGCAACAGACTGTGGCAAACACCAAACCACCGTGTCTTCCTGCTGCTCGCGAGTCAAGTTCTTCCAAATATGAAGTCAGAAGTTTACTGACTTTAAGTCTTTGTGGAGGAGATCTGTACCTCAGATCAAGCAAATCTTAATCATCTTCAAAAGTGAGAAAACAAAAACCCAGAAGCCCAACGTGTGCTGATGTTAATTTTCTAGTTCTCTAGTCTAGCGAGTACGTCACGCTCGTCGACCAAAAACAAAACTGAAGCCAACAAACATTTTGATCAAGTCAGCTATTCATCAATGTTCATTCGTTGTGGATTCAGTTTCTCTGGTTTATTTAACAGGTCAATTCCCCCCAAATGACACAAAGACATATTTTGAATTAACCCCTAATGTTATAAAGCCACGCAAATACAATCAGTTGTATGTGTGGAGCTTTTGAGCAATTTGTCTCTGAGATTTCTGCCTCCAAGCCAGTATGAGGAAAGGAATTTCGTTGGTTGTGCTGAGAGCATTGAAAGTAAATTTGAAAAACTGAAAAGCAATGAAAATGACCCACAAGCTGTGATGATCCACAGACCGCACTGTGAAGAGTTTTCACTTCTACAGAAGAGACAGTCCGTAAGAAAAAAGGATGAAATGTGTGTTTTGTAATATGGATGAATTAAACCTTTACTGCTGAACTAGAAGTGCAAACATAGCAGGTCAGTCACTATTCTGTCACTATTACATCAAACTAAAGATAAAACTATTAGTTGATCAACAGAAAAAGAATCAGCAACGATATTTAAAGCAAAAATGGTGAAAGAATGCTTCAAATTCTCAGGTTTCAGCTCCTCAGAATTTCCTGCTTTTCTTCTTCATACATCACTGTAAACTGAATATTTGGGCTTTGGACTGTTGTTTGATACAAACCAAGACGTTTGAAGATGTCACATTGGGCTCTGCAAAGTTGTTATTGGCATTTTTTCATTATGTTTTATATTTGTAGAGCATATAAATTGGGGAAAAAAAGACAGATGAATCGATAATGGAAATATTATAATAGTGGCAGCCCTGGAATGAACATGAACAGGTATTTAATATGAAATTTAAAAAGGTAAAACCACTGAACTCTAACAGACATTACACACATTAATACCTAATACTTAATTTCAATAGGGGAAGATGGTCTGAATGGTTTAACAGCTGTTCAATATGATTGAAGACTGAAGTCAGTAAAGGGATTTCTTCTAGAAGAGACATCTCTAAAGACGGAGCGGAGAGGAGCAGCTCCTCGGCCTCGCCGACCCAAACCAACCAAAACAATCTGCTGCCCCCATGACAACCACACCGCTGCCTTCAGATGTGGGCGACCGTGGGAGGTCGAACGTTTCTGTAGACGTTACTCATGCGATTATCCTCACACGGACATCCTGCTTACAAATTGAGCTTTTGGGAGAATCTGCACTAAATGCATCGTATTTAACAGAGCAGTCGCCGAGGCTGCAAGCTGCTTTATGGATGATTGAGTGATTTAAGAGGTGATGGAGACTTTAGTGGTATTTTTGCACAATTGGAGACTGATTACAAGCAGTGACTATTTAATTACATGAAGTTAATTGACGTTTTGCTGCTGCTGTAAAATGAATATCTTAGTGTTTTAGGCTGTCAGACAAAACACAACAAGATGTCATCTTGAGCTGTAAAGAAAGTGACATTTAACTGACTAAACACTTAATCAATTAATAAACAAGAGTCTACAGCAGCACCTTTTCAGCTAACGTCGGCATGCTAACATGCTGATGTTTAGCTGGTATAGGATTTAACCTGTTAACCATATTTTTCGGCATAACATAACCATAAAATATATCAGAAGCTGATGGGAATGTCACTATTTTTGTAGGTATTTGATCATAAACCAAAGTATTTGACAAATCACTTTCGACCCCGATGGTGGCGCTAGAGGAAGTGTCAAAGGATCGCCAAAGTAAGAGGGATTAATCCTCTAGTGAACATGAATGTCTGCATTCTGCAAATGATAGTTGATTAATCATTTTCAACCTCCGAAATATGATGATTTTCTGCTTTTTCTTGTTTTTGCACATTGAGCATCACGTGTTTTGAAGAGTTGGTCAGACAAATAAAGACACAAAGATGTGACTTTGGACTCTGGCAAACATGGCTGGACATTTTTCACAATTTTCTGACATTTTATTGACCAAATAATCAGAAAATAATCAGCAGATTAATCCGAAATTAAAACTATAGTTAGTTGCGGCCCCGATAATTACTGATCTTTAAAAAGGCCTACAAGTTACAAGTTACTTTTGACTCTTGCAACCACACTTCCTCCCATGCTAAGAGAAAGGTATACTGGTAGAATACCGTTTCCATACCTGCATTGAATACTGGTTATTTTTTAATTCTGTACAAGTGTCACCGTGACAAACTGGTTTGTCCTGTGAGGATATGGAGATGTGACCCCGGCAGTTTGCACTCCGACATACTTTCTAAGTTGCATTTAGCATCAGTTTGTGTTTGTCTCAAACTGCCATCCAGCTCCAGGAGAATGTGACTGCTGACACAAACATCTAAAACAGTGAGATTGATGGGGGAGACGCTCAGCGAAGGAGGCCGTCGGTCTGAACCAGATGTGCCGACACATCAGCCAACTGCTGTTTTCAACAACTCCTACATAATAGACACAGTTACATTAAAGCTGTGTGCTACTGAACCTTGTTATTTTAGAACACTCTGAAATAACTAAAGTATATTGCATTTCCAACCATCCCAAAGCAAATTATAAAGTGCAATTAAAACTGTCAA